CAGTTGGTAAGTTCACTTGAAAAATGATTTTCTTTCTTATAGTTTTTGTGTGGTTTTTAGTCCAAATATCTAAAAGTTCTTAAACCAATAAACATTTTCTAGAAGGATTTTTAGTCAAAATGATGTGAATTTTTCATTAAAAAAGCTCAATAATCTGCCAATTAGGGTAAATAAAAAATATTGTTTTGGGTTTTGAATAAGATTATTTTACTGATCTCATTGGCAGATTAAATTATTTTACAAAAAAAAGTTCACTTAATTTAGAATTATTTCTGAAAACTGAATAACTTTTGTACATATTTACTTATTTGAATGATATGCGAGTATGTCTAGAAAATGCTTCCTGATTTAATTTGATTTTAATTTAAATTTATGTTTTAAGTTATTTGAACAACAAAATACAATATGAATTTTTTTACAGTATTAACATTTATATCCAATTTCAAAAAATGTATCTTTATTGTCACTATGTTTGACTGTTTAGCAGCGTCTTGAATAATAATAAAAATCAGTATGTTATTGGCTACTTCCAGCAGTTTTTGTTTCTGCCAGCCCATATTAATGTTTTGTGTCTAATTATTTAGATTTGTGGCAAGTAGTCATATAAAAAGTTGGATCAATAGGAAGTTGTTTCTGCAAAATAATATTTAGAATTGTCTTAAAACATATACTTTATGATGTAAGCAACACAGCTACAGCGAATAAAATCGATAATGTGTGTTTTAAATTTATAGTGCGAATTATCAAGGATTGATGATAATTTGTCATATTGTCTGCACCAAGGGGGCCCCAAATAAAATCCTGCTTAGGGCCCCCTGAAGGCTTGGGCCGGCCCTGCTCTTAACAGAATGAGACCGGAAGTCTTGAGCCAAAATGATTCAATAATGTTAATATTATTAGCAGTATTATTTATTATCTGCATATTTATATTTGTTTTATTTAAAACAAGTTTAGATCTGTCCACCTGTTGGGTTTTGGAGACGTCTGCATCACCATATGGGGCATAAAAATAGGACGTGTGCTTGGATATTACTCAATTGTTTGACACACTGCATTATTATTGTTCATTTCTTCGTTTGCTGGAAATTAAAACTGAATTTAGAAATAGTTTTGACACAAATCTTTGCGCTTAACATAGGAAATTAAATATGTAGACTAATGGATGTCTTCAGCGGAGTGCGTACAACACTGTTTCCTTATCCACCAAAGTAAAGGAGTAAAGTAAAGGAGTAAAGTAAAGAGAAAGTAAAGTCGCCGAATGAAGGAGGCTTGTTCTTTATCCTCGCGCTGCAGATGCTCTGTTTAACTGTTTTCTCCCTTGTGAAGTCCGCCATGTAAATAGCAGATGCACCATGGCGTGATGCAACTCTTAAAGGGAATAGGAGATGAGACTCTTATTGGTTTAATGAAAGTTATGCTCAAAACACATCCGAAACTCATTAGGAGAATAAGCACAACCTTGTTAGACCATGTGTCGCAGCATAGACCGTATTTTTCCATCCTTAAAATAGCAAAAATGATTTCGAACACGCCCTTAATGCTTTTGTGCTATGAGCTTTAGACTTTGCGCCTAGATCGTTGAAATAGAGCCCTAACAAAAGTGTGAAATTGACACACACACTCACTCTTTCTCTCTCTCTCTCTCTCACACACACACACCTACTTATAACCACACATGAATGAAACAGAGAAAAGTTTGATCAGTTGTGCAACAAAATTCAGTCAATTAAAAAATCAGCACAAAGCAGTGAAACTCTGAAACACCAAGAGTGTGAAACAGACTCACAAACAACAACAAGTAGCTAACGTCTTTTTGTTTGAGTGTTTGAACTGGAATTGTCATCGACACTTCAACATCATACCTTTAGGACAAATGTCAGAGTGACAAACGTTGAATGATCAGTATTTGTTAACATTTTTATTTACAGCCATTACTTGTTGTGTTAAACGTTGCGATGTTTTTTCGAACACACACTCTGGAAGAGTATTTCATTGCTGGTTGCAGAGATTCACACCCTCTATCTCTCTTTTCACATGTACAGCATGTCAGTGATGATAAATGTGACATGAACTGACACATCCACTGTGTGTGTGTGTGTGTGTGTGTGTGTGTGTGTGTTTTCTTCACAGTCACCCCAGCTGTGTTCACGCCTGGAGTCACACTGGCTCCTTACACACTCTCTCCTCTTTGCTTTCCTATATTCAGGGATGTTTGCATCAGTATCAGTGCAAGTGCTGAGAGTGCTACAACTAAACCTGTAGCGCTAATTAGTTATTAAACATCAGCGTGTGTGTGTGTGCGTCCTACAGCATTTTTGATACAGATACAACAAGCACTAATTAATATAAATATTATATTAGCATCATAATAAAAACTTTCAGAAGATATTAGAAACTAGAGCTGCTCGATACTACACTGTAAAAAAATCCTGGTTGCCTTAAATTTTTAAGCTGAATCAAATTAACCTCATGAGTCCATTGAACTTATATTATGTTAAACTGACTTTAAAACAGCTTACATGACTTTAAAAATAAAGTCAGAACATGACTAACTTAGTTTAATAAGTTACAACAGTGGTTCTCAAACTGTGGTACGTGTACCACTAGTGGTACGCAGGCTTCCTTCTAGTGGTACGCGGAGGAATGAAATATGTCATGTACATGCTACACACATTTCAAAATTGATCAAAAATGATGTATATAATATGCCATATATGACACAGAGCCTATATTTCTGAGGTAATATGCCACGTTTTTTTAACTGTGCAGAGTTGTAGCTGCTTTACTGAGCCTTCTATGCTACTGTATTTCAATGCTGCTCATTTTGGTGGTACTTGGAGAGACAATTTTTTCCTGAGGTGGTACTTGATGAAAAAAGTTTGAGAGCCACTGAGTTACAATGAACTAAAAACATATGTTGTCATGACTAATTATTTATATTTTTTTACAGTGTAGGAAAATATGTAGTGGTGTTAAGTGTTGCATTAACAATATTTCTTACAATATAACTAACTTTAGAAATGATATTTTATCAGCAATAAAAAAACCTCTTATTTATGTAATTAAAACAAACAGGTCATTGATTTTTTTAAGCTAATTTAAAAAAACATTTAAATGGGATTCGTTTATGACTGAGATAATTAAAATTAAGAGATTAAAATTGTATTATGTCGAGAATCAATACTAAATGTTACGAGAATAAAGTCGAAATAGTCTATAAAATAATTTGCAATATTTCGACTTTATTCTTTAATCCTGATTGATTTTATCCTCGTAACAGTTCGACTTTGATCTTGTGACATTTAAATTTTATTCTCGAAATGTCAACTTGATTTTCCAAGTATTACGACTTTAATCTGTTTTTTCATATTTTTCTAATGTGGTACTAAAACTATTAAAACGTAATTTATCAAGCCAGGCTCATTTTGATTACGTCCCCCTTCTGGAGAGTGCCAAATACGTCTCAGGAGCTATGTTTTTTGCAGTTTTTGTTTTCGCGAATACACCAGAAGCTGCTGTGTGCGTTTTTCAGATCTCAATTTTTTCTTGCGAGTGCCATTCGCGCCTGCTCTTCTTACGTAAATCCACCAGAGGACACTGTTGACTGACTGACTGACTGGCCAACCCTCTCCCTTCCCCTTAACCCAACCAATAGTGTTTTTCAAAAGACTGACCGACACTCACCCACTACCCTAAACCCAACCGACAGTTTTAAAAAGCAGTTTAGAAAAGCAAATGCATAGCAACACCATGTAAACCACACAAAGAACATGTCACTGTGCTTAAAATTACTCAAAACATCTTAGCAACTGCATAGCAACACCCTGGAAACCACCCACAGAACATATAAGTGCGCTAAAACTACTCAAAACATCTTAGCAACTGCATAGCAACACCCTGGAAACGGCCCACGGAACATATAAATGTGCTAATACTTCTCAAAACATCTTAGCAACTGCATAGCAACATCATAGAAACCACTCACAGGGCATATCAGTGCACTAAAACTACTCAAAACATCTTAGCAACTGCATAGCAACACCCTGGAAACCACCCAAAGAACATATCAGTATCTTCTCAAAACATCTTAGCAACTGCATAGCAACATCATAGAAACCACTCACAGGGCATATCAGTGCACTAAAACTACTCAAAACATCTTAGCAACTGCATAGCAACACCCTGGAAACCACCCAAAGAACATATCAGTGCGCTAAAACGATTTAAAACATCTTAGCAACTGCGTAGCAACACACTGGAAACCACCCACAGAACATATCAGTGCGCTAAAACTACTCAAAACATCTTAGTAACTGCATAGCAACACCTTGGTAACCACCCACAGAACATATCAGTGCGCTAAAACTACTCAAAACATCTTAGCAACTGCATAGCAACACCCTGGAAACCACCCACAGAGCATATCAGTGTGCGAAAACAACTCAAACATATTAGCAACTGCATAGCAACACCTTGGTAACCACCCACAGAACATATCAGTGCGCTAAAACTACTCAAAACATCTTAGCAACTGCATAGCAACACCCTGGAAACCACCCACAGAGCATATCAGTGTGCGAAAACAACTCAAACATATTAGCAACTGCATAGCAACACTCTGGAAACCACCCAAAAAACATATGAGTGCGCTAAAACTACTCAAAACATCTTAGCAACTGCTTAGCAACACCCTGGAAACCACCCACAGAATATATCAATGTGCTAAAAACTATTCAAAATGCACTGCCAACTACATAGCAACACCTTGGCAACCACACAAAGAACATAAAAATGTACTAATACTACTGAAAGTCTTTGCAACTGCATAGCAGCACCCTTGAAACCACCCACAAAACATCAATTTGTTAAAAACTACTCAAAACAACTTAGCAACTGCATAGTAACACCTTGGCAACCGTTCACATTACTGTTGCACTGAGCTTTACACACAAAGCCCCCTCAGGTTGTCTTCAGAACTGACAGTGTGTGTGTGATGTTACCTGCTGGTACGGCACACATGCGCCGGTGCAGTTCTGTCCGCGTGGGTCAGTGGTCCAGTCACGAGCACACGTCATGTCCATCTTACAGGCCTCGAACCTGCAGCAGTGATTAGGGTCACGATCAGTGTGTGAATTATACAGTGATGATCAGAGGGGTCAACTTTTACAGTAATGTAAGTTCGCGTAATACACATCCAAGAAGCGTCAATCGCGAATGATTTACATGTTAAGTCAATGCAAAGACGCAAATAGACATCTAGCGGTGCATTACACGCAAATGAGGCGGTGCAAATGATGCGATTTGTGCGAATGATGCAGCGGGAGTTGACCGTTTTGTGTGATTAACAAGCTTAACACGTGTTTCGCGTGAGTCACTCAAGTTGGAAAATCTGAACTTCAGCGGACATTCGCGTTAACCAATCATTAGCTTTGTCTGCGCCTGTTGTTGGTGATCAAACCCACATAGCAAAATTTCTCTGGCCCACCTCTGGCCCACACAATCAGGTTTTGCTTGGCCCACATGCCGCAGTGAATTACGGTACATGACTGGACCAAATCTGGCTTCCAGACAAGGGCCAAACACAGACCATATCTGGGCCAAGTCTCAGCCAAGTTAATAACTCATATCTGGGCCTGAACTGGGCCAGATAGGTTGGTGTGTCACGATTGCAATGAAATTGATAAGCCCATGGAGTGATGCGCTTTAGGCACACTATGGGCACGCTTTTTCTCAAAGTGACCTGATTGGTAGAATTTTTTTTCTTTACTCAAAAATGATTTTAGTGTATTTAAAATGTGGGTCAAGACTGGCCAAACTCACATGGCCCATTTATCACATTTTTAAATCTGGGCCAAATACTACGTTTTTCATCTGGCCCAAATCTTGTGTGCCGCCTTAAAAACGGTGCCACCTCTGCCAAACCCGGGCCATGTTTGGCCCACATGCTGTATGCCAGTGCCGGATGAATGCCTGCTGTGCCAGCTTTATGCCAAATCTGGGCCAGAATTCTTTGGTACTAGGGAATTGAGCTCAGCCAAAGAGCGTAGAATGACCAAGAGGGTGACTGTAGCTGACGCTGATTGGTCAGCTTGTAATTTTGTTTATTGTTTTGTATTTCATTATTTGAATGTGTATTCGTTTTTGTTACTAATTTCTTTGTTTCCGGCTGGCTTGAGTGGGAAGTGACATGATTCTCATTGATTGATTTAACCTGCGAGAGTTTGTATGGTCACTCAGGATAGTGAGATCTCAATGCAAGCACCTGTTAAATGCTTTTGCTTATTTAACAGCTGGTTATCAGGCCAACACGGTAAACTAAACATTGTTTTATATATTATTTGTTTATTTTGATGTTCTTTTTGATTGTGTTTTTGTGAAACATTTGGTTTGTTTATTTGTTTATCTTTTAGTTTTCACGATGTTCAATAATGAAACGCATGGTGGACATCAGTATTTGGAAGCGTGGACTGTTTAATAACCGGCGAGTGGTTACAGCGACGCTCAATAGAACGTTCCATTGCAACAGCAGCACCCAGCAACAGCCCCAGATGCCGCCATTTAGGAGTAACCGCCTGTGGTCGGCTGTCCATTGGATTTTATTGCTGTCGCGATGGCAAGCAGCTGCTTTGTTTTGTATTTATTTATTTATGTAAAAAGCGCATTAAAGCTGAGATACAACCTGAAAGTCGACAATATGTAACCCCGCCGGTCCTACGCCACCCAACCCGCTCCGAGCTGGTTTCAAACCGACGACCTTCCGCATGAGAGTCGGTTGCTCTAACAAGGAGGCTAAGGACCATGGCCTCTAGCATCTGTCGCTAGAGCACCTTTAGAGGTCAGAGGAGTGAGGTTTACCTGCACAGCACACACTAGCTGGCCTCCGTTACACTCACCCCCCTAAACCTCACTCCCATCCGGGTCACGGCACCAATGTAACCCCGCCGGCTCTACACCACCCAACCCGCTCTGAGCTGGTTTCGAACCGGCGACCTTCCGCATGGGAGTCGGGTGCTCTACCAAGGAGGCTAAAGACCATGGCCTGTAGCATCTGTCGCTAGAGCACCTTTAGAGGTCAGAGGAGTGAGGTTTACCTGCACAGCACACACTAGCTGGCCTCCGTTACAAATACAACCCTTACTATCTCAATCATCAGCACTTTAAATAGTTTATTTTACAGACTTATAACATGCTGTTGTTCTATTGGAGTTTTCATTCCAAAATGGCCACCGCGCCATCTAGTGGCTGCTTCCTGAATCACATTAGAATGTCGCCTCTTGGTGATTCTATGCTCTTTGGCTCAGCTCAGTCTAAACCACCGCTGAAAGTCGAAAGGATCCACATGAATCAACACTGTTTTTCAGCCTTCATAAAGCACCAGCGTAATGCTGTGTTTACACCAGACGTGGCAAGCACGGATAAATCGCTTTATCCGCACACAAATGGATCATTTTGAGTTTACTTGCTTCATTCGCATGTCAAATTTACTTCACAACAGACGCAGATTCGCGTCACGGGCTAGCTTCATTGCTAAATGGCTAACATGGATATTATGAATAGACTAGCTGTGTGCTTTAGGAAGGCTGAAAAACAGTCCACTAGATCCTTTCAGAGGTGCACCAGTTCTGTGAGTTCATCAACTCCTCCAGAAACTTAACCTGGATGATGGAGGCTTCAGACTGAGCCGAGCCCAGTTTGATCAACTGTTGCCCAGTGTCAGCAGGAGGATTTTCACCAACAACAGGCGCTAAATCATAATCACTCCCCTACAAGAGAAAGCTAATGATTGGTTAACTCTGCGCGCATGTCCGCTGGAGTTCAGATTTCTTAACTTGATCGATTCGCACGTCAAAACGCTTAACTCGTGTGACACCCCAAATATTGGGTTGCCACAATTGAGGATATTAATGATATGCATGTGTGAATGTATAAAGGGAATGGTGGTTCCGCCAGAGCGATAGAGGGCGCTAAGAGAGCACAGTGTGTGATTCAGTCCTTTCTGGACTGCTCGCGATAGCCCAGTAACATGGAGAGCTGATCACACGCATATATTTGTCTTGTGTTTATTCCACCATTTAACAGGTTAGTTGACTGTTCTAAGTGTCAGTCTGTATTGATATGGAAAGAATACATGTTTGTGCATATTAAGTCTTTGGAAAAGATTTGTGTTTGATTACATTTACATGTTTAATGAGGGTTTAAAATCGCGATGTTTACCCGCGATTTAAGGGGATTTATATCTACTCAAATAGTTTAAGAAAGGTGAATATGCTTGTATATACATGTATTTCAGTTCTAATAATGTTTAGTTTGCTTTAAAAAGTGCATGTGAGTGATCTATATGGGCAAAACATTCAGAGAATGTCAAGTTTAATGCATTTTTGGTACAGATAAAAGCCAATTGAGTTTATTTGATTCATGTGACACTAAATAGCGTGTGAATACACAGATGTACTACACAGCCATTGGCTGATGAATATATTTGTCAAAGAAATGCTGTTTATTTACAAGATGGAGGCTGAAATAGTCAATATGTATAAACAGTAAATGCTGTAGCAATGTATTTTAGATATTGCAAGTGTTGCCATTTAAATTTGTTTGATGTGAACATGTTGAGAAAAATAAAGATAGCCCAGTAACATGGAGAGCTGATCACACGCATATAGTTGTCTTGTGTTTATTCCACCATTTAACAGATTACTGGGATCGCTAAACTGTCAGCTGATACAGGAGTCCTGGACCCGCTACACTCGCACCACCTCATTCGCACGTATCACGCTGCAGGATGTCTATTCCAGCTTTGCATTGACTTAACATGTAAATCACTAGCGCTTGGCGCTTCTATGTCTGGTGTGAAAGCAGCATAAAAGTAAAGAGGCCGATTTGAGGAGGCTCGTTCTTTATCTTCGTGTTGCAGATGCTCTGTTTAACCGTTTTCTCACTAGTAGTGAAGGTTCAGTTTTTACACTTACCGTACAAAGTCTGCCATGTAAATATCAAATGCGCCATGGCGACTCAACTGACTCTTAAAGGGAATGGAAGATGAGATTCGGATTGGTTTATTCTCAAAACACACCCAGAACTCATTAAGAGAATAAGCACAACCCTTTTAGACCATGCGCCACGCCGCAGAGTGTATTTTTCCGCTCTTAAAATAGCAAAAGTGGATTCAGACACACCCTAAATGCTTTTGCGCCCTGCGCTTTAGACTTTGCGCCTAGAGTGTTAAAATAGAGACCTTTATCTTTATTAAACAGTGGGAAAAAAACAATGTTTATGCAAATGAGTGGGCGTGGTCTCACCAGTCTCTGCAGAAGCTGTGGCACAGAGGCACTGCCTTCAGGGAGGAGCCCTGATGTGGGTGTGGCCAACGAGCAGCATCAGGAGAACATCGGTAAAAGCAGACCACGCGCTTCAGGAAGGATTCACAGCTACAGAAAACATGAAACAACAGATCAAAACTAAAATTTAGTTCATGTTTAGTCCATTTCTAAATATATACGCAATATTTATTAATCTTATTTTTAAAACTGAAGAAACAGACGGTCCTGTAAAAGTTACTTCAGGTGGACAAAAATGACACAAAACTTAATGTGCAAAAACCTCAGACATACATAACAAACTTAAAAATAATTCTATAAACAAGGGGTTAAAAGTTCTTAACTTTCATTAAAATCAACAAACTTAAAATAAAAAAATTAAACATTAACGTGGTTTATCTTAGCTAAATATTTAAGAAAACATGAGTTATTTTCCAGTAATGGGTTGCAGCTGGAAGGGCATCTGCTGCGTAAAATGCGTGGATAAGTTGGCGGTTCATTCCGCTGTGGCGACCCCAGATTAATAAAAGGACTGAGACAAAAAAAATGAATGAATAAACTTAAATTAACCCGTTCACGCATGAGTTTTAAATACCCCAGCTGACCCTCTTGTGTGAGGTTTTTTTGTGACCTTTTTCTGTTGCTTAGTACCCATTGTGCTGTAAAGTTCCCATGGTGATACACAGTTCCTATCGTAAAATGTGAAAAGGTTAATAAATTAATATGAATTTATATATATGGATTTAAATAAATAAACCTAAATTTAAAAATAAAATGATTCAAAATAATTAAATATACATAAAAAAATCGGTGGAAAACAACTTACTAGTTAACTAACCATACTAGTAAATATAAAGACAAATTAATTTCAAAATGCAAAATTAAAATAAAAAATGTATAATTATTAAAAAATAAAACGATAATTTAGAACACAATACAATGTAACACTATATATATATATATATATATATATATATATATATATATATATATATATATATATATATTTATTTATTTATTTATTTATTTATTTTTTTTTTTTGCAGTGTTGATCTCTAAATCTCTAAATCTACTATGGTCAGGTATAATAATAAATATAATGTTATAAATTTAGGGATATGAATATAATCATCATAGACTTACAGAGGACTGAGGACACCACATTTATCCCAGTGAGTGTTTTCCACCGTGGACACAGAGACAGACAGATCCTGGATGTCCGTTTCAGAGCAACACGAGTCTGCACAGAAACACACAAACACATTTAGATTTCTCACTGCTTTAACACTTAAAAAGTTAAAAAGGAGACTATAAAGTTATTATTATTATTATTATTATTATTATAAAGTGCGCACACACTCTCAGTGTAGAGCGAACACTCCTGCAGATGGCGCTCTGGAGAGGGTGTGGCTTTGTGTCGGCCATCCCGAAGACACGCCCCCTCGTGACTCATCACCACAGCAGCGAATAGACTGGTCAGGTGGGCGAGGCCAAGCAGAACTCTGGACACGCCCATTTTCATCTGTGTTCGTCTTTAATCTGCAAGAAATCATTCATCCTGATTAAAGATGCATTAATAACGATCACAATGCTGTGTTCTATGCTAAGATATATTGTTGTTGTTTTACGTTTTGTATGTCACATCATATTAAAATTAGGCTAAATAATCTCAATGGGATCTCAATTAAAGTACATTTGCAACATGGATTTTTAGAGTGGTAAAGCATTACTTTGCTGCAGCAATCCACATGTACAATTTAGTTTGGATGTTTATAGAGGCTAAATTTAACTCAAACTGCCCGTACTACTTTAGAATTGTATGTTTACTTTACAAATATTGTCAAAAGTATGAAAAATACAGATCATATATTTAAAACATAGGGGGCGCTCCTGTATGCTCACCAATGGAAACTGAATGACCTGGTGTTCATGTTTGGTACTGCGGCCAAACAAAATCTTACTGAAAGCTTTTTTATTTTGAGATACCAACTTCAAATTTGGAATCTTATTTGTTCAGATATTAAGCTTGGTTTTTCTGTCAATATTAGGGTAAGAGGTGTTTTACAAAATAAAACATTTAAATAAATAAATAAATAAAATAATAAATAAATAAAATAAAAATAATTCTATAAATCATATTGGATCATATTTACACCTATTATTTTACTTTATATTGCCATAAAAATTAATTTAGAGGCAGTGATTCACTTAAGTGTACTTTTATTAACTTATTATTATATTTTATTAGCATTAAACTTAAATGATGGCCAGTCTCTTACCCTTTGGTGCACAGGTTTAACGTTGGTCTCATTTTAAAGATGACAAGTTTGAAAAGTTTAATAAAACAATAATTATGAGCCCTTATCCTTATGAAAATATTAAATAAAAATCAACGTATGTGTTATAATACATACAATTAATATTTTACAAAACATCTGTCAGCCTAAAATTGACAGAAAAGTCAAAGCTAAAGCGGAATAAATTATATTCCAAATTTGAAGTTGGTATCTCCAAAAATGAGCATTCAGTAAGTTTTTGTTTGGCTGCAGTACCAAACATGACCACCAGGTTTCTGGTGGTGAAAATATAAGAGCACCCCCCGTGTTTTAAAGAATGTGAACTGTATTTGTTCATACTCTTGACTATGTTTGTAAAGTAAACATACAATTCTAAAGTAGTACAGCCATTTTGGTTGTATTTGAGTTGAATTTAGCCTTTAAAAACATCTTAACTAAATTGTACATGTTGATTGCTGTAGCAAAGTAATGCTTTGTGACTCTAAAAATCCTTGTTGCATTATTAAATTAATATTAATTAATGAATAACTGTTGCTCAGTAATATCTATCAATGATCCATTACCAGATGTGGACACTAAAAGTTTTAGGCTTTTAAATTATACACAGTTTGTCATAATTGCTTTATGTTTAAAGAATGATATTATGGTTTAAAATTGTATTCGTAAATGGTCCCACAGGTTGTAGGGTGACATTAAATGTGTTTCAATCTCCTACTCTTCTCACATAAAAAAAACCCAACAACTTCCAACTTAATTAAAAACTGAGAGGTTATTTGATATGTTTATTTTTCCATCGCAATCAATGCAATTCTAACGTTATGTCATAAAAATACTGCTCAAAAACTAAAACTGAACTGAAACTCAGTCTAAAACTATGAGTGCGTATGTCTCAGACTTCAGATAATTGTCTATTATACACTCATTTCTATTTGTTTTATTTTATTTGATAAAGATTTCGATGTGTATTTACAAAATTGTGTGCTTTTGAAAAACCTGTAAAGAATGCGTTATTGAATGTTGAATTTTATACCTTTGAACTTGTTGAAGGTTAATTTTATAAAATAAATAAAATATAAATAAGTAAATAAATAAAGGTGCCAGGAAAAATCAAAGGCACTAAAGCAAGGGTTTAGACAAACATTTAGACAAACAAACAGTTTTGTTTCCCAAAAGAACCTTTCAAGAGTTCACACTTAGCTGATGATTGATAATAAAGGTTGTTTGGCATGCTGTCCCGGGAGAGAGCCCTGCACTTATGAGATCCTCGAGCCCTCGGCTCCCTCCCGTTTGCAGGGCGAGAGGGCAGTTTAAGCTCAGGTAGATCTCCATATACTCCCCCGGCATATTTTTGGCTAATGACAGATATAGGATGGCTGAGGAGAGGTTTACTTGCTAAGAGCTTGACTATGGTATCAATTTTGTGTGTTCAAGTTACTTAGAACCCTGGGGAAACCCATGCAAACTCAGCACAGAAATGTCAACTGGTTTAGAAGAGACATTTCTCCGGAGACATTCTCGCTGTGAGGCAACAGTGCTAATAACTAGGCCGTCGTGTCGCCCATCTGGAAAAGTGAGGCAGTATAGGGGTGTGTGGGGGAGATTCTTCAAGGCGAAGATACTGAGATAAGAAAACTCTGGTTATTTATAGTGAGTTAGAAATCATCTGAATGGATAATCAATCGTAAGCTAATGTGGGACCAGCTGAGAACAATCATAAGCATGTGGTCCTCTTGAAATTAATTTGTAAATAAACCCCACTGAGTGAAAAGTTTTTCCAATAAAATTTATAATAAATTACATTTAATTATGTAAATAAAAGCGTTTAAATAAGCTTAAATATGTAAATATTTAAATATGTAAAAAATAAATAAATAAAGAGCATTTTACACTTAAAAAAACAGTTGTAGGATAAATAAATATAAATATTAAATATATAATCACAGGGCTTAATCGAAAAAGTAATCAAAATCGACATTCAGAAACTATAATCGTTCGAATTTTTCCAGGTCGATTATTTTCAATTACCTTCACTACCGTGTGTGGAGACACGTGACCCTGCTCTGTTGACTACACATCACAACGACGCTTAGCGCAAGCTCTGTGATTGGTCGATTTGACCACCTAGACCGTGAGCTGTTATCACAGAGAAGGAGCGCGCTCTACTTAATGATAGACGCGCACGCGTCTACTTTAGTGAACAGAACCTGCATATGTTGCGAGTAACAGGTAATACAGTTGCAAATAATATTCAGTTTGTGGCACAGAGTGATCGTTTTGGAGCCGCCTGAAGTATGAACAAGCACTTAGCAGTTAAAATGAAACCGAAAGTGTGCACTTCATTTAAATGCTCATATCGCATTTTAGAGATATGATTACGACAAGCATTTGATGTTATTTCTTTCATAGCGAACACACAGTTGTGCATGAAAATAAATGTTTACAATGTCAGTATAACTACTCTAGCCTATATATTGTTGAATATAATCTGATAATGGCTAAAGTCTGATTTTACCAGTGAATAAAATTGTCTAATATGACAGATTGCAAGCATATATCTCAAACATAAAAATTCAACATCAGAAATATTATAAGTAGAATAGAATTATTTATAGAAAACAGTAGACCTACACATAATATTATTATCGATGTTGTGCCACATGTTTGTTGTTACCATACCTTTATTTTACATCTACAGAATCGTGAGAGAATCGTGATCTTTATTTTAAGCAAAAAAAAAATCGCTATTCTCATTTTAGCCAGAATCGTGCAGCTCTAATATATATATATATATATATATATATATATATATATATATATATATATATATATATATATATATATATATAAAACAAATCAATATAAATTCAACCTAAGAAAAAAGTAATTAAAAAATAAATAAATAAAGTGTAAATAAATATAGTGTAAATATAGTGTAAATAAATCCTTAAAAATGCTACAGTTAAAATAATTCTACAAAATTTAATTGAGTGAAATATCCAGCCCATAAATAAAGCAGTTCAGGAACACTAGACTAGAGTTTGTATATATATAGGTTAAACCTCACTAAAACGTTTACTCCAGCAAACACACCGTGACCTACAAAAACTTTCCGCTTCGCCACAGGCTGAGTTTAACACAGTGTTCATCACTAAAGACACCATCACGAATATCAAAAGCAAGTTTCAGCTGAATAATTTCCCAGCGCTGCTCGCATTAACAGCCCAGCATAAGAGGATGAGAGCAAACACGCAGACAGATTTACCGTAATTCAGCAAACAAGCACCTTCTGTCAAAGCCTGCAAGCTCAGACACACACAACTAACAACACAAATGTGCAGAAAACGGCTTCGTACCTGATGCTGCTGCTGCTGTGTGAGTGTGAGTGTGAGTGTGTGTGAGTATGTGGTCTGATCCGAACACTCGTTTCCCCAAGCTGAAGACGAAGGACATCTCGATGACAACACCCCTCCCCTCTGCTGCTCACACACACACACTAATACACACACACATACTCTTGTACAGCTAGCTTTATGAGGACTTCCCATAGACACAATGCAGTTTGCACTGTACCGACTGTATATAGTGTCCTCACATGAATCAATCTGCACTTTCACACTTTCAAAACACTTCATTCTGTCTGATTTATGAGCCGTTTTCATCATAAAGACCAAACAATGTCCCCGCAAGGTCAAAATGTACTGATATTGCCATACGGTCCCCACAATGTAAGGAATACAAGGTGCAAAATAATATACACATTGTCATACAAACACACACGCACTAACTCACAGACATACACTCATGGACCCAGACACGACTATACTTGGACACAAGCACACACACATATGCACATGCAAAGTAATACACTCACATACACACTCACATATACACACTCACATGTACACATGCACTACAGTTTTTTACAATTGTTTTGCCACAAATTTCTGTCAACTTTCTAAACTCTCGACACAAATCACAGACAAATCGTCTTTACTGTTAACACCGGCTCTCCAGTGTCCAAAACTCCAAAAATTGGTACCCATAATCCTTTTATAATTCAAATACGGAACTTAACTTTAGACCACCAGCACACAAGATGCACTTCGCTCCAATAAACTATCATTTCAAGAGTTCACACTTAGCTGATAATCAATAAAGCGTATCTGGCATGCTGTCCTGGGAGAGAGCCCTGAGCTCGTAATATCCTCGAGCTCAGGGCTCCCTCCAGTTAAAAGGGCGAGAGGGGAGTTCGAGCTCAGGTAGGTCTCAAGAACTCCCCTGCTTGTAAAAGTGTAAACTAAGGTTGTCTTAGGTGATAATTTGGTTTAGTCGATTGGCTATGGTTTATGTTTTTGGACGGTGGGAGGAAGCCAGGGGAAACCCAAGCGAACACAGGGAGAACATGCAAACTCCGCACAGAAACACCAACTATATACAATAGGAGGTTGGACCAGCGGTGTTCTTGCTCTGAGGCAACAGTGCTAGCCACTGGGCCACCGTGTCGCCCTATCGGAAAAGGGAGAGGACGTAGAGGTGGAAGGGGGCGGAGCTTTAAGATGAAGATAACTGGAGTGAAAAACTCTGGCCATTTATAATGCCTCGGTAATCATCTAATAGGGCAGATTACAGAGCTAATGAAGAGCCAGCCGTGTTGATCATAAGCAAGTGATCCTCTTGAAATGAGTTTATAAATGAACCACACTAAATTTTGCTGTTTAAAATATGACAGAGGTTTCGTTCTTGTTTATACATGAGTGTGGAGGGAACAGTACAGACAGGGGAAACACTCAAGTGAAATTGTATTCATTCAATCATAACATAGGTTTACTGTGAAAAAATCATTTAAAAAACTGAATAGTTGTCACCGACTCGGTCCCAGTCATTCCCCTCGCTGGCCAGCAGAGGCCACCATCTCCGGACTTCTAACATTACATCATCCCTCCACTCTGATTCCAGCACACCTGATATCCATTCCGCTAATGACCCACGTACCCTTTATAAGCAGCTCACACACACTTTTCTATGCAAAGTCTTGTTTAGCCCCGGCCAGCATTTCTGAGCGTTCTATCCTGCCTGATCTCCCGTTTACTACTTCAGCCCGTTTCCTGACTCTGCTCTGTCTTCTGCCTGCCCACGACCAAAGCCTGTTACACGGACTCTGAATCACGCTGCCTGCCTCTGACCCATGCCTGGTAATCACTCTGTGTCTGTCATCTACAACCCATGCTCATTGATGTGTATGTTGTATGTTCGCACAGCCGTGCGTATTGTATGTTGATTAAGTGTGACTTAATAAATACTGCAAATGGATCCCTCCGTGTCAGTCTCCCCATTACAATAGTTAAGTTCACCAAAGTGATTCTCACTGCACGTCCCCATATCGAAAGCTGATATATGGCATGATATATGGCAGCATATGCTACTTACAAATTTTATTTTGCATACTGTGTGTATGTGTATACACACATACAGTTGAAGTCAGAATTATTAACCCCCCTGAATTATTATCCCCTGTCTATTTATTCCCCAATTTCTGTTTAGTGGAGAGCAGATATTTTCAACACATTTCTAAACATAATAGTTTTAATAACTCATCTCTAATAACTGATTTATTTTATCTTTGCCATGATGACAGCACATAATATTAGACTAGATATTTTCAAGACACTTCAATACAGCTTTAAGTGACATTTAGGGCGTACTCACACCATGTCAGGGGTGTCAAACTCAATTCCTGGAGGGCCGAAGCCCTGCACAGCTTAGTTCCAACCCTGCTCCAACACACTTACCTGTAGGCTTCAAACAAGCCTGAAGGACTCAATTAGTTTGATCAGGTGTGTTTAATTAGGGTTGGAACTAAACTGTGCAGAGCTGCGGCCCTTTTGGAACTGAGTTTGACACCTGTGTAGTTGCCTTGAACTGGGCCAAAGCACACTTGTCCCCCCTCCCGTCTCCACTGACGGCCCACACTCACATTATCAGGCCTGAGCATGCCTACGTCATCAATGATGCGCTGTTCAGTAAGAGCTCTCGCTCAGCACAGTGGAGATTTCGTTAGTTATATCGCTTTAGTCATTTGATAAGCGGTGACGCTGTTAAATATTTCACCAAACAGATCTGCCACTTTTGACGCTCATAAACAATCATAAAGCCCTCGTGCTGCAGGAATTAGGAGGTTTGCTGAAGGTGCAGCAGTGGTGCAGTGAGGCTTTGCGTCTTTAATAAACTACAACAGTTTGCGCTCATTGAACAGTAAGAATGATTAATAAATCCGCACAGTCCCTTAAAACAGTGGTCCCCAAACACCGTGCCGTGGACCGGTACCGGTCCATGGAACAGTTGGTACCGGGCCACATAAGAAATCATAAATTGTTTCTGTAGAAAATAATCCACCCGCGACTTGGTTTTTTCCACTCACCCCCGCCATTTCACATGAAATGGACTATGCCAAAATCCACCACGGAGCGGGAACAACAATCGCTAGAATATAACGTTAGCTCAGTGGTGGTTGTTGATAGTTTAAAGTTATAAAACAGGTATTATAGTGTCCAACTCAACAGAGTATTTAAGGATTGTGCATATATGTAAGTAAGTACCCGAAATCATTGCAATATGTATTTATATGGAGTTTCACATCATCATACTCATTAGGGCTGTAACATGCCAATGCATACATTTAATTCGGCTATACGGTTGTATTATTGTTAATATGTTCGTCAGTTGAGATGTTTGGCACAGATGTTATGTATTTGATGCATATAAACCTTGATTGAAACTATATATATATATGCATGGTCTTTAGCCTCCTTGTTAGGGCAACCAACTCCCTTACGGAAGGTTCAACGTTCGATCAAAGCTCAGAGTGGGTTGGGTGGTGTAAGACCGGCGGGGTTACATTGGTGCCGTGACCCAGATGGGAGTGAGGTTTAGGGGGTGAGTGTAGCGGAGGCCAGCTAATGAAGTGCTGTGCAGGTAAACCTCACTCCTTTGAACACTAAAGGTGCTCTAGCGACAGACGCTTGAGGCTATGGTGTTTAGCCTCCCATGCGGAAGGTTGCCGGTTCGATCCCAGCTTGGAGCAGGTTGGGTGGTGTAGGACCTCGCTGTCACTAATACACGTGCAAACTAATGCACTCAGAGGCTAATACACAATCACACTTAAACACGCTATGTGCACACTCATAGACACACACACACACACTAATATACTCACATACATACACACACTCATTCAAATACACACCAACTCACACCCATTAGCACACACAAGGACACACACTCGTAAGCTAATACAATCACACACTAATACACGATTACATACACTCTCACATATGTACACACAGACTAATACACACACATGCAAAACTCTACTACACACACAAACACACGCACAGTACTACACATGCATTAACTAATACACGCACATATATACAAATACACACTCAGACTCAAACGCTAATACACCCTTGCTACAACTAAAACACTAATACGCAATCACATACACAATCTCACACACAGACTAACACAAACAAAACACTCTTTAATGCACACACTTCTATATGTATGTGATGTGTGTAGTATTAGTAATACTAATAATAATGAGGCTTTATCTGACCTTGCTCCTCAAAGCTCCTCCTCCTCCTGGTGTCCTGCTGAGTCACCTGCACCAGCACCTGCCGTCTGTGTGTGTGTGTGTGTTTGTTTTCCCAAAATCCTCGTGGGCCACATCTGATGGCAGCGCCTGAGGTAAACGCAGGGAGAATTAGGGTAATCTGTGTAAATTAGGCCACCTACGCTTGTTTTCCATGGCAGGCGCATCTACAGCATGTCAACATCATCGCAGATGCTCATGTGCTGGAGTCTCGAATGTGGATAATATTATAGGCTCATTTATTAAAGCACACAACAAACGAAATGTACAATGTTCAATTCAATTTCCTTCAGCTTAGTGCCTTATTTATCAGGGGTCGCCACAGCGGAATGAACCGCCAACTTATCCAGCATATCCAGCCTGATCTCACGAGAAAACGTAAGTATTTTACGTTTTGCCAGTTTAGTGGCTAATTCGTACGAATTCGTACGAGTTCAGTCGTACGAAAGGGTACGATTTTAAAAAGGAGGCGTGGCACCTGACCCCACCCCTAACCCCAACCGTCATTGGGGGATAAGCAAATCGTACTAAATTGTACGAATTAGATCGTACGAATTCATACGAATTAGCCACTAAATGAAAAAGTTACGAATTGCCGTGAGATTGTGTTGGCATATCCAACTATCATTCCGTCCACCAAAGATGAATTTATAAACAACTTAGCTGATCTTTCTCTATTTCGAAATGCACCCGCAAACGCAAATGACCTTGATGTAGTAATCAGCGGTATGGATGCCGTCTTT